TATACAGACGGGACATAGACGGTTTTATACAAGCGGTGAGTGAGAGAGAGACAGATGGTGGGCCAGTGTGTGAGAGAGTAAGTGTGTGAGTGTGTGAGTGATTGTGTGTGATTGAGTGTGTGTGAGTATGTGCGTGAGTGATTGTGTAGTCCGGCAAAAAAAAAACCCTACCTCCTCCTGGTGCCGGACAGGCCACTCTGTCGTGGACAGTGCTGTGGGGGGAGGGCCAATTCTGATTGGCCTCTCCCCTCATGGCGTCTGTGACCACCACAGTGGCTAACGGGGGCTCTGGACAGGTTCGAGGGGCTGGTAACCCCTACACCTTCAATTAATTACCACCAAACCACAACTTAAATATGTAACTAATAAGCTTGTGCCGGAGGCCCCGGGGGGACAGGCATCTATGACGTCTCCTGGCCAAACCCCAATTGGCGGACCAGGAGATTGAATCTTTACCCTCGGGGCTCCTCCAGAAACAACGAAAAGCCACTTCGCGTGGCCACGTGGAATGTTTGAATGCTCACTGCCGAGGAGAGGCTGCCACTCCTCTGTCGGGAGCTGGACCGGTAACGCCTGGATCTCTGTGGCATTCAGGAGGTCCGGTGGACTGGTTCTGGCTTTTGCCACCATGAGGGGTGGACATTTCTCTACTCGGGGCAGGAGACTGAAGGGGGTGTGGGAGCGTGTCGGTGAGGTGTGGGAAGCTGTAAGCCCCAGGCTACTTTGGGCTCGCCTTCCCATCAACTGGAGGCGAGGAGTGGTGGTCATGGTTACTTATGCCCCCAACGAAAACGAACATCCGTGGAGGGATGCAGGCAAAGCCGATGAGTCAGATGCCTTCTATGACCTCCTGTCACAGGTGCTGGCTAAAGTGGCCCCTCGGGATAGAGTCGTCTTGTTGGGTGACTTCAATGCTCGAGTTGGTCATGATGCTGGCACCTGGTCTGGAGTGATTGGAGGGCATGGGCCAGATCAGCTCAATAACAATGGTAGGAGGCTGCTAGATTTGCGTGTAGCCTATGTTCTTGTAAGTACCAACACGCTGTTCTGGCATCAGATCTTCACACAATATCATGGATGCATGCCGGGTCCAAGCAAGAACATCTGCTGGACTACGTAGTGATGGACCAGCGGCTGCGAGCCCATGTCCTTGACACCAGGACCGACCGTGGAGCTGATCTGCCCTCTGACCATCGACTAGTCATTTGTAAGATGCACCTGCCATTCTTCCATTCCGGCGGTGGGTGTACACCCAGGAGCCCATTCCAACCTAAAGTGGCCTGGTCTCAGTTATCTGATGAAAGTTGCAAGCGAGAATTTCATCATCGCTTGCGGCTGGGGTTGGCATCGTCCCCACTCTCATTGACTTCAGCATCCCATGTCAGAGAATGAGGAGGCTTACCGCAGCCATCGCTCGGAGGTTCGGAGAGCCGTGAGGCGCTGCAAGCATGGGTGGTGGTCGCGGGTTGCTGAGGAGATGGAGTCTGCCTCAGTGGCCCGCGATCACAAATCCCTATTTAACTCCATAAAAAAGTAACCTGGAGCACCACACCTATTACCATCATTAGCGGAAAAAACGGTGATGCGATCTCCGACCCCCAAGAACAGGTTTGCAGATTTGCTTAGTATTTCTGTGAGGTCCTGGAGAAGGGGAAATCCCTCATCCAGGAAAACATCGTGGCACAAAGTGGGGATGACCTTACTGAGGCTGCGGTGCCCAAAATATTGGAAGCGGTCACCCACTGTGAGTTGCTGGCTGAGGTGTCATCGGTTGAGGAAGTACTGAAGGTGATCCGGAGTCTGAGACCAGCAAACGCACCAGGCAGAGAAGATCTCTCAAGCGAAATGCTGAGGGAGTGTGGCGTTTGTGCACAGACTGCCATATATGACATCAAAACAACAGTCTGAACCACTGGACGGATTCCGCAGGATTGGAACCATGCCCTGGTCGTCCCCCTCTTTAAGAAGGGGGACCGCACAGGCTCTAACAACTACAGGGTCATCTCACTCCACAGTGTGCCGGGAAAGGTCCTGGCGAGGATTATTCAACATCGCCTTGCTAGGCACGCTGAGGAGAGGCTTGCAGAGCCCCAATGTAGTTTCAAGAAAGGGCGGTCCTGCACAGATGCAATATTTCCTGTCCCTCTGCTACAGCAGAAGTGTAGGGAATTCCAACAAGACCTACATCTCTGCTTTATTGACCTCGTCGAGGCCTATGATACCATCAGTAGGCCTGGTCTCTGGGTTGTTCTTCGTGTTTTTGGAGTCCCTGACCCTCTGCTCATGAGCATTAAGGACCTTCATGATGTTGAGCGGGCCCGGGTAAAACTACGTGGCCGGGAGTCAGAGCCATTCCCTCTACACCTTGGGGTGCGACAGGGATGTCCTCTGGCTCCGACATTATTTAATATCTATTTTTACCACGTAGTTCGTGAAGCCTTCAATAGCTAGACTGGAGGAATTTCCATTTGGTACAGATATAATGGGAGGCTGATCGATGCCCGGGTGCGGTCAAGGGATGGCTCCCTGTTGTTCAACCACGTTATGTATGCCAATGATTTGGTAATAGCTGCTCATTCAGAGGAGGAGTTGGAGATACTGCTGCTGAGACTGGAGCGTGCCACAAAGAGGTGGGGCCTTACCATCAGCCCCACCAAAATTAAGCACCTGCCTGGGTATTTTGTACCATCGGACACTCCACCCGCACAATTCCCAATCGGTGATGGGGCAATTGTGGAGAGAGTGGAGAGTTTCCCATACCTGGTGGCAATATATTTTCATCAGTTGCGTACCGCTGTGTGAAGCTATCTGGTCTGTCACTCCGCACTAAGCTTCAGGTCTTCTCGGCCACGGTCATTCCCTCCCTTCTCTACGCTTGCGAAACGTGGACCCCCCTAATAGAACATCTTCGCCAGTTAGAAATATTTAGGCTAGCCTGCCTACGATCCATCCTGGGTTTAACCAGGCTGGATTGTGTGAGGAGCTCACAAATCCTTGAAAGATCTGGACAAGGTCTCATCGGTGAGCTTCTCCAGCAGTCAAGGCTGCGTTTGCTGGGTCATGTGGCCCGCATGCCCAGCCACCGCATGCCTAAACAGCTTTTGTTCAGCCGGATCGAGGGGGTTAAACAGGCGCGGCACGGGCTAGAGAGGAAATGGAGTGATGTGGTGCGGGAGGATGTGGAGATGAGTGGACTTGCCAATGACTGGTACCAGCGGTGTCAAGATCAGCCTCTGTTGAGGAGGCTCATGAAGGACGCTACTGAGCAGTTGGAGGAAGTCGCCCTCTAACAACAACGGAGGGACGAGGAGCGATGCTCACAACAACGAGCGGAGCGCCGGGTGGCTAAAGCACAGCAGGTTGCCACAGTAGGGGGCACAGGTGGTGCATCAGCCAGTCATCTCAGTCATGTCAGTCAGTCGACCCGTGGAACTTCGGTCTGCCTCGTGACCTCCTGCCAACGGGCGTTCGACACTTCACGTGGCCTCAACGTGCACATGGCCTGGCCCAAGCGTCGTGGTGACGTAACCGCCACTTAGTGGCAAATGGCGGTTGTTGTTGAGTGATTGTGTGTGAGTGTATGTGAGTGAGTGTGAGTGAATGTGAGTGAGTATGATTTAAACGTCTTGATTTAATTTATTTTATTTTAAACCCAAGTGACTTTACCGAAAGAACCAAATAGTATGGGGTGTAGAGTCCAAGGCATTCATTATCTGCTGTGAACAACCCACAGAGCGCAATAGAGCGTCTCTGGGTTCAAGCAAGCGTTTACTGTACAGTATTTAGATTATTTGGCTGCTATATATTTCCAACATGATGAGCCACTTTTGTTGAGCTGTCATTTGTGACGGGCAGGTCGCTTCGGAAAAATAAGCTAATAGCTCAGTGGGGCATTACACCTGGTAACATAAAATAATTGATTTTTATTCGTATTCTCTTCTTTACAATAATAGAGAACGCCAATGGGCATTTGTGTTGCTGCGCGTGCATGCGTGTTGAGTAGCCGTGTTTGTGAATGTGAAACAAGAACGCAGGTGAAGTAAGCGGTGGGTGCGGCTGTGAATGGTCGGCACGGGGATCTGCAGTCTCGGAAAAGGTGAGAGTGAGAGACGGTGATATCGCCAGCAGTGGGTGATGGAGGCAGGTAGAGTTGGTGATAGATTCACACTGCTAGCAAAAGGCTCAAGATTCCAGGATGGATCACGGAAGTCTACAGGCAACTTCCATCTCGGACACCACAATGACATTTAAGTAAACTCGTCACATTGGGCTAATTACACTGATATGGAGTTATGGGACATGATGACATATCTACAACTATACCAACTATTTTTTTACCAGGTAAGGCTCACTGAGCTGTGCAGCTCTTTTTCAAAAACAACCTGGCCACAATTATAGTTCAACGAAGTGGCTTATCACGTGGAAATGTATTGCTGCCAAATACTCTAAATATGTGATGTTGATTCTAAATATGTAGGGGAAAGATAGAGGACCCACGTAAATATCCACGTGACCATGGCGAGAGAGAGAGATGCAAACTCCAATTATATATGCGTCCGTGTCGGAATCATACCCACGACCTCCTGTATACAGGGCGAGGGAGATAACATCTTGCCATCGTGGCACCCAATCCATTACTCTGCCTTACTATAGACACCAACTTGTGAGCTAAGCTGTGGAAGGATCAGTTTACATCTCGAAACTCAACTCACGAATGGGTCACTACAGCTGAGCCTCACCGATTTATATTGACAATTCATTTTTCTAAAAAATAGTTTAAAGTAGATTCCTTTGATACATTTTGTTCACGTCAAGGTGTGTACAGTAGCCGTGTTCACCTCAGAGCGCGGGTTCACATTCCAGGAAGTGTCACGTGATGTCAGTGACGAAAATGAAAACTTTTTGTTTTGCTTCCTTCTTCACTGTCACTATAAGAGGGAGGTCCTGGTCCAGCGTCTCCCTGAGCCACAAAGCGAGCGATCCCAGCGACGCCTTGGGTCATGGCTAATGCGACTCCCAGTGAGAGTGTGGATAGTGAGCTGTGCTGCTCCATCTGCCTGGGCACATTCGTCTGCCCCTCCACGCTGAGCTGCGGACACTCGTTCTGCCTGCAGTGCCTGGAGGCCGCCTGGGAGACGGCGAGCAGCTTCAGCTGCCCGCAGTGCCGAGCGACATTCCCTGTGCGACCCCAGCTGAGGAGGAACGTGGCCCTCGCCAACCTGGTGGAGCAGCTCAGAGTTGTAGACGGGATAACCACGGCCGTCGTGTGTGACAACTGCAATGACGGCCAGACCCCTGCAGTGAAGACCTGCCTGAGATGTGAGATGTCCTTCTGTTTTTCTCACTTTAGGCCTCACCTGGAGAATCGCAGGTTGAGAGACCACACTGTGGTGGATCCCACTGCGAGCTTGGATGAGCGAAGATGCCCTCAGCACAGTGAAGAGCTGAAATTCTACTGCAGAGTAGACAGCAGCCTGGTTTGCTCATCTTGCACCATCGCAGGTGGACATAAAGGACATAATGTCACCATGTTGAAGGACGAGCACGAGACACGGAAGGTGAGACCCTCAGAATGAGACACCACAACACAATCTGATCAATTCTGCCACTCGACTGCGCTAAATCTGATAAAAAAATACGTAATTGTGTGGTCATGTCCTCTTGTATGAATCTCTGTCTCTGTGACTGTGTAACTCATCTCCCGGATGGCGTTTCAGGACACAGCCTCATAATGTATTGCATGCTAGGCTCTCACCAAACAAATGCAGAGTAAATAAATTAAGTGGACTGAGGTTTGAGATTGATAAAACAGCCACCTGAGAAACAATTATATTAGATGTATCTTCTAAACTAGACAGCTGTGGGCACATGGACTCTTGGCTCTTAGTCGGTACGGACACTAATCCAGCACTGCTCCCACCGGCTGCTGCTACAACGAGGCATCAGCTTGCCGACTGCCCGTTACCCCAAACTCAGTCGCCATACAGAGGCAGCGTGGAGATGAGGGCCTTCACTGTGGAGGGGTCGGTGTGGAGGGAAGGGCAGTGTGAGGGGTGGCTCAGGGGGGCTGGAGTCTACCGCTGGTGACGTCTCGTCTCTCACTACAGACGCGTGTAGCGGAGGAGACACGAGCGGTGGAGGAGAAGAGGAAGGAGGCGGAGGAGTCCATGAAGCGGATGGAGGCCGCTCGCAAGGAGGCGCAGGTACCGTGTCCGGGCCGGGCTCTTTGACCCCCGTGACCTCCACCCAGTGTGGAAGTCGTGGAGATCAAAATTAATTGAAGCGAAATTCGTGCAGCATTAAAACTTTTATGCCTCTTACTATAACTATATCATTCACTTTCAAACTCAACATTTACTACGAGGGAGTTGCACGTTTACCGCATTAGATAGCCGCATTGGCGAGACTGCTGAGAGGTTGCATTACTTGGCATCGCCTCTTCCACTCCTGTGCCCAAAAAAACAACACGTAGAGATTGCGACGGATTGTCGGGGTGGAGCTATGGTGCAGCTGTTGCGCTGCACCTGAGGTCATGCACTGGCTCGGACGCAGAGGCACGAACACCACACAGCGGCACCTCACACCATCCTTAATCGCGTCAACGGAGTTCATTTTAACAACACAATTTTAATATTACCAGGTAAGGCCCCACTGAGCCATGTAACTCTTTTGCAGAAGGAACCTGAATATCACAAATTAAAGCTCAATGACATGGCTTATCAGGTGGAAATTGATAGCATTCAAATACTCTAAATACGGTACTCTAAACGCTTGCTTGAACCCGGAGACACTCTTGGGCTCTGTGGGTTGTTCACAGTAGATAACGAATGCCTTGAACTCTAAACCCGAGTCGGACTCGTGGGAAAGCCCGACCTGGATTACGCCGATTCTAAATGTGGAGGGTAAAACTGGAGGACACAGAGAAAAATCCACGTTATCACAGGGAGATAGACGCAGACTCAAAATGTACAGCGGGAATGAGGGACGTGATCGAACCCACGACCAAACTTTACCAGGCGAGGTAGTTAACATCTCGCCACATCTCGTCGAACCCATGAGAGGGCCCCCACCGGACTCCGAGTGCACGAGTCTCAGCATCCACGACTCCAGCGCCCTCTAGGGGAGAAACAAGAAGAGAGCGGCGCCCCTTTTGCCCCCTTGGCACGGATCGACTCAGTCCCATGGGCGCCTCGTCACTGGGGCATGATTCACCACGAGGGAATATTATTTTATTAATTTGCCAGGTAAGGCACCACGGAGCTGTGTAGCTCTTTTTCAAAAGTGATCTGGCAATCACAAATGACAGATCAACCAAGTGGTTGACATCATCATTATAACATGGAAATGTATAGCAGCAAATTATACATAGAGACCAATATCTATACATAGACACTCATATACATATCAGACCCATAGAGATACCTAGACACTCATAGAGACACACAGATATACATATAGATATATAGAGACCAGAGACAGAGACCAATAGAGAACCATAGAGACCCATAGACTAAACTTTATTTTTATTTTACCAGGAACAGTGCCACTGAGCTACGTAGTTCTTTTTCAGAATCGACCTGGCGATTACAAATGATATCCCAACAAAGTGGCTGATTGGAAAGTGGAAATTGATAGCAGCCAAATACTCTAAACATGCAACGTTGATCCTATATATGGAGGCAAAACCCGAGGGACTCGGAGAAGAATCCATACGACTGCAGAGAGAACAAACTCCAAATATACAGGCGTCAGGGTGAGGACCAAACCCACGACTAGCGGTATACCAGGCGAGGGAGTCAACATCTCCTCGCCACCCCGGCGCCCACACGCACACACGGAGTGACTCATGGCTCAGGGAGCCAACCGTGGTCCCCGTGTCTCCGCAGGAATCGGTGGCCGGAATCAGGGGTCGCATCACGGGCAAGTTCGCCCGCCTAAGGAGGGCTCTGGACGAGGACGAGAGGGAGGCTCTCCGTCGCGTGGCCGTGAAGGAGGGCGAGCTGCTGTCCCGGATAGACGAGGACATCGCTCGTCACAAGCATGAGATCGACGAGCTCCAGGCGGCGGCCGCTCGCCTGCGCGCTCTGCAGCACGAGAGGGACTCGCTCACCTTCCTGCAGGTGGGGAGCGCCTCTGTGGAGATGGCGTTTGCGTGTCCACAACAACAGAGCGGGCAGTGACAGGGGAACTCCTGGTCCAAGGATAGATACATCAGTCATTATCTGTCTCTCTCTTCAACAGGGGCACCTGGAGGAGACGCGCAGGTACAGATCATCAACGTCTCACGGTTAAACAACCAATACTGGGCTGTGTGTGTTAAACAAACGGGATGTGTGTGTCTTAGACACAGGCTGTGTATGTGTGTTAGATACAGTCTGTGTATTTGTGTGTGTGAGACACTGGCTGTGTGAGACACGGGCTGTGTGTGAGACACGGGCTGTGTGCGAGACACGGTCTGAACATGAGACGCGGGCTGTGTGACACACGGGCTGTGTGAGAGACACTTGCAGTGTATGAGACACGGGCTTTTGTGAGGCACTGGCTGTGTGTGAGACACGGGTAGTGTGCGACAGGCTGTGTGTGATATATAGGCTGCGTGAGAGACAGTGTAGCGTGAATCGCGCTGTGCTTTGAATCCAGATACTCGGGTTCGATTCCCGCTAACGGCCAATTCCAGTGAGGATTATCCTCACCGGTCCTGGGCCTCACCTAGGTCGACTCAGCCTCAAATGAGTACCAGGTGCGGTGTGTAAACATCGCCACTGTGGAGACAAAGGCGGTCGGGCGTGGTTCTGGCCACCCATCCTCTCGTGTACCATTCTGGCCTTCATAGGTGTTCGCTAACAGCACTTGACCCAACAGTCTGTTAAGGCTATACGGGGCATCTTTGTCTTCATCTTCGTGTGAGACATTGCTTGTGTGTGACAGGAGCTGTGTGTGACACACTGGCTGTGTGTGAGACAGGTTGTGTGTGAGACAAGGGATGTGTGGGAGACAGGGACTGTGTGTGAGACACGGGCTGTGTGTGAGACACTGGCTGTGTGTGAGACAGGTTGTGTGTGAGACAAGGGATGTGTGGGAGACAGGGACTGTGTGTGTGACAGGAGCTGTGTGTGACACACTGGCTGTGTGTGAGACAGGTTGTGTGTGAGACAAGGGATGTGTGGGAGACAGGGACTGTGTGTGAGACACGGGCTGTGTGTGAGACACTGGCTGTGGGAGACACTGGTTGTGTGTGAGACACTGCCAGTGTGTGAGACAGGCAAAACAACCCCCTACTTCCTCGTGGAGCCGTACAACCAACGATGTCATGGACAGTGCTGTGTGGGGAGGGCCAATTTCCATTGGCCTTTCCCCTCATGGCGTTTATGACCACCATAGCGACCAAATGGGGGCTCTGGACGGGTGCGAGAGGCTGGTAACCCCTCCGCCTCCAAATAATTACCACTAAACCATAATGAAAAATGTAATAAATAAGCTTGTGCCGGAGGCCCAGGGGGGACAGGCGTCTATGACGCCAAACCCCATTTGGCGGAGCCAGGAGACTGAATCCTTACCCTCGGGGTTCCTCCAGAAACAACAAATAAACACTACGTGTTGCCACGTGGAATGTTCCAATGCTCAATGCGGATGAGAGGCTGCCACTCCTCTGTCGGGAGCTGGACCAGTACCGCCTGGATCTATGTGGTGTTCAGGAGGTTCAGTGGACTCGCTCGGCCTCCTGCCACCATGAGGGGTGGACAGTCCTCTACTCGGGGCAGGAGACTGCCAAACAACAGGTTGTGGCTCTTCTTCTAATCTCTAACCCACACGAAAAGGTTTGCCAATTTGCTGAGCATATCTGCGAGGTCCTGGGGGAAGGGGAATCCATAAGCCTGGAAAACATCATGGGACAAAGTGGGGATGACCCTGCTGAGGCTGTGGTGCCTCAAATATTGGAGGAGGAAGTCACCCCCTGTGAGTGGCTGGCTGAGGTGTGATCCGTTTCGGAAGTACTGAAGGCGATCCAGAGTCTGAGACCAGGAAAGGCACCGGGCAGAGATGATCTCCAAAGCAAAATGTTGAGGGAGGGTGGCGTTTGTGCGCAGACTGCCCTACATGACATCATAACAAGTCTGGGCCACTGGACGGGTTCCACAGGATTGGAAGGATGCCCAAGTGGTCCCCCTCTTTAAGAAGGGGAACGCACAGACTGTAACAACTACAGGGGCATCTCACTCCTCAGAGTGCTGGGAATGGCCTTGGCAAGGATTATTCAACATCGCCTTGCTAGGCACGCTGAGGAGAGGTTTGTGGAGCCCGAATGCGGTTTCAGGAAAGGACGGTTTCAGGAAAGGACGGTCCTGCACAGATGCCATATTTTCTGTCCGTCTGCTACAGCAGAGTTGGAGGGAGTTCCAACAAGACCTACATCTCTGCTTCATTGACCTGGTCAAGGCCTATAATACCATCAGTAGGTCTGGACTCTGGGTTGTTCTTTGTGCTTTCGGAGTCTCTGACCCTCTGCTCACGCTCATTAAGGACCTTCATGATGGTGAGCGGGCCCGGGTAAAACTACGTGGCCGAGAGTCAGTGACATTCCCTGTACACCTTGGGGTGCGACTAGGATTTGCTAAAGCTCCAACATTATTTAACATCTATTTCGACCAGGTAGTTCATGAAGCCTTCAATAGCTGTACCGGAGGAATTTCCATCTGGTACAGATTCAATGGGCGGCTGATCGATGCCCGGGTGTGGTCAAGGGATGGCTCCCTATTGGTCAACCACGTTATGTATGCCGACGACCTGGTAATTGCAGCTCACTCAGTGGAGGAGTTGCACTGCTGCTGAAACTGGAGTGTGCCACTAAGATGTGGAGCCATACCATCAGTCCCACCAAATCGAAGCACCTGCCTAGGTATTTTGTACCATCGGGCACTCCACCCTCACGACTTCCAATCAGTGATGGGGCAGTTTTGGAGAGAGTGGAGAGTTTCCCATACCTGGACAGTGTGCTCATGTCCAGCTCCGGTTTATCAGCAGAGGTCTAACTCCGAATCAGTCGAGCGGCATTATCTTTTCATCGGTTGCGGAATGCTGTGTGGAAGCTACCTGGTCCGTCGCTCCGCACGAAGCTTCGTGTCTTCTCGGCCACAGTCATTCCCTCCCTTCTCTACGCTTGCGAAACAGGGGCCCCCGTAATGGAACATCTTCGCCAGTTAGAAACATTTAGGCTGGCCTACCTACGATCAATCCTGGGTTTAACCAGGTTGGATTGTGTGAGGACGTCACAACTCCTCGAAAGATCTGGACAAAGTCCAATCAGTGAGCACCTCCTACAGGCAAGGCTGCGTTGGCTGGGCAATGTAGCCTGCGTGCCCAATCACCGCATGCCGAAACAGCTTTTGTTCGGCCGGATAGAGGGGGCTAAACGGGCGCAGCACGGGCTAGAGAAGAGATGGAGTGATGTGGTACAGGAGGACGTGGAGCTGAGTGGACTTGCCGAAGACTGGTACCAGTGGTGTCAAGATCGGCCTCAGCGGAGGAGGCTCGCGAAGGACGCTACTGAGCAGTTGGAGGCAGTCACCCTCCAACAACAATGGATGGCAGAGGAACGATGCTCACAACAACGAGCGGAGCGCCGGGTGGCTAAAGTTTGGCATGTTGGCACAGTAGTGGGCACAGGTGATACATCAGCCAGTCATCTCAGTCATCTCAGTCAGTCGACCTGTTGCACCTGTGTCTGCGCCGTGACCTCCTGCCAGCGGGCGTTCGACACTTCACATGGCCTCAAGGTACACATGACCTGGCACAAGCGTCTTGGTGACCTCACCGCCACTTATTGGCGAATGGCGGTTGTTGTTGTTGTGTGAGAATCAGGCTGTGTGTGAGATAGGGGCTGTGTGATACACAGGGTGTGTGTGAGAAACAGGCTGTGTGTGAGTGTGAGACACGGCCTGTGTGTGAGACACTTACTCTGCGTGAGACAATGCCTGTGTGAGACACGGGCTACGTGAGACACAGGCTGTGTGTTAGATACGGGCTGTGTGTGCTATGGATGCTGAGTGTTCCGATGCTGTGGTTAAACGAGGCTGTGTTATGCTGGTGGTTGTCCCAGGAGAGAGATCCCAAAGGAATCTGCACCCCTACCTCCCACTTCACTGGACGCCACCACGGTCCGCTCCCTTGAAAGGGTCGTGAACAGATTCCTGCCTCTCGTCTGTGAGTTCCTCAGTCTTGCACCCGCGTGTCCTGCTGTGTTGCACTGCACTTTTGTGCTGACCGAGTTTATCAACTTTTTATTTTACCAGGTAAGGAACCCACTGAACCATGTCGCTGTTTTTTCAGAAGCGACCTGACGATCACAAATGTAGTGACATATGACGTCACTACCGTGTCGGCTCGGTATGGGGGTTGTAGGAGGGTGTCACGGGGGTTGTGTCTGGCCGTGGCACACCGCGTGAACCCAACAGGACACGTGATCGGATAAGGGGGGGGGGGGGTGGGGCAGGAGGGAACTTGAGGGTCATGTGTTTTGGGGCCCGGACCTTCCTGATCGAGAAGGGGGGCGTGGCCTGGGGCGGTGGTGGCCACACCGGAGTGGTTATAAGCGGAGTGTGAATTGGGAGCTGGGATGTTCTACTCTGAGATGTTGACGCTATGAGAAGTCCTCAAGTCTCCGATCTTCGTTCGTGACCAGGTAGTCGTCACCTGCCCTGGTCATGCTGTGGAGTGTTCCCCGAGTGTTTTGAGTGCTAGTGAGATTAGGAATGGTGGTCACCACCTTATGTATAGTGTTCACGTTGGTGTTATGTGTTAATAAATAGTTTTGCCTCCAAGTTGTGTGTGCGCCTCAATTGAACCCATTACAACTGGTGACAGAAGTGGCACAATGTATTTCTTCTAAGTCTAGACTTAGCTATAGTGAGGTGATATGTTCACACTTCGCAGTCAACCTACCAGACACTCCTCTGGTGACGGAGAAGACGAAGAGACCATCCCTTCAACAGCCCCGGGGATGGCAGCCCCAAAAAGTTCAAACGAGACTTCGTCGCTGGCGGAGCAGCGCTGCGCGACTCAAGCAGCCGCATCATCTCCATCGAAAATTCGCCATCCTGGCCGCGTCTGCCGTGATGAGCTGCTGGGCGCCACGGCCGTGTTGGTCGCCGAACTCGACGCTGAGGAGGAGGCAGCCCTGGAGCCATGTGGCGTCGATCTCGCTGCTGCTGCCGTTCACACGCACTATTCTCCCACCACGCCGCCCGACCGCTCGGCGGCCATTTTGGCGGGACCGCGGGACATTCCAGCGCTGCAACAGCGACTCCCATTCGTCCGGGATTTCAAAGCGGCTGGCGGGGACTGGGAGGCCTTCAAACATTGCTTCTACGCGAACTGCACGTTGGTGGGCTGGAACGAGGCATTGAAGGCGCTTCCCACCTCTCTCGATGACGATGGTTTGGTGGCATTTTATGCCATCACACCTGAAAAAAGACCACGCCGGCGCAAGCCTTCATGCTGCGGTGTATGACCCGCCATCGTGTGTTCGACACAGATTCGCTGAGCAAAGGCGAGGAGAAGGCGAGATGCCCCTCGCCTTCCATAGTGCTCTGCTGTCCTTGGCGCAACAGCGTTTCCGAAGATGGAGGCGGCGGGAGTTGATTAATTGGTCCTGGAGCGATTTCTGGCATTGGCAAAGAAGTTAAACGTTGCCTTGCCAGCACGGAGGAGGACGATCCGTCGTCCCTCATGATTGCCCGATGTATTCAGACTCACCTCAACCTGAAGCAACGAACGGGGCTGGTGGCATGCACTGCTCCTACAGAGGTGCTCGACGCGTCGGACGAGGACGAACCCGCAACAGCTTGTGCCACGGTCAACGGGAGGAGGAGGACTTGAGCGCAACATGGAGCAATGAGGGAGACGCGATCATCCTCGGGGGACCTTCCCCCATGGTGGCTACAACCGCATCGTCTGCTACAACTGCATGCTGCCTGGACACGTCTCCTTGGGATGCCGCACTGCACGTCGAGAATGGTTCAGGCCGCCATCGTCGTCTTACCAGGCACCGTCGACTTCAAGGGGCCCTAAGGCGAGGCACGGTGCATCACACACTCGGCCCTCGTTCTCACCTCACCCATATAATCTTTGTGTTGATCCACGTCTGGTCGTTGTTCGTCCTCGTCGGATCGCGGCGCGTGATGGGTCGGTTGTGTCGGGTAAAGGCTGGCCACTCCGGATGGCCGAGTGGTCGCAGTTGGCCCACCGTCTTGTTCCCATGGCAGCGGGACCATCGGCAGTCATCGAAATGATACAGGGGGTGGAGGTGCAGGTGCTCATCGATACGGGCGCATCCGCCACGATTTTTTCTGAATTGATTTTTAATATCTTGCCACAGGGTTGTCGTTCCTTGCGCCTCATTACCATTCCATATTTTGCCGCTAACGGGGGTACGTTAGGCATTATAAGCCAGATATCGGCAGAAGTGTCCATTGGCGACATTAAATTAGAAGGGCCTGTGCTGGTTCCTGCCTCCCTAGCCGTGCCCTATCTGCTGGAAATAGACTTTCTTGGTAAATGCCCCTGAAAATGTTTACAGATCAGGGATGTTTGGAATTGCCCTCAGGCCAGTGCATTGCGTTCTTGTCTTCCCCCACTCATATGCATACGGTTAACGCGACCGTCCAGGTGCTAGCTACCATCATGGTAATGATTCCCCCCGGTGTGCAAATGCTTGTCCTTCTGTTGCTGCGGAAGCCACTCGATTAGTAGGCCACCATGGGAGGGGTCGTGTTGGGACCCTCTAGCAGAGCTGTCTGGGGGATGACGCTAATGGGAGCTCAGACGCTGGTCTCGAGGGATTACCAGCCGTTCATTAAAATGCTAAATGTTGGGCCAGACACGTCAGTTATACAGCAGGCATGGTGCTCACCCATGCTTTGGCCGCGAGGGTAGACTTTAACGTAGTGGGGGGTGTAGGGGTCGCGCTGAACACGGACCAAGGGCTAATTGGCAAGGACAGCTGGGCAGATGCCCTCTGCTCCGAAAATCAGAACTTGTGCAGCGCCCAGAGCACCGCACTACACGTGCTCTTATTTGAGTTTGGGGACATTTTCATCAGGGGTAAATTTTGCTATTGGTCGCACCACCCTCTTGAGCAACCATATTGACACAGGTGACTCTGCCCCCATTCGGCAAAACCCTTCCTTTTCCTGCTGAAAAGGAACATGTGGGCCAGGCAGTCGACGAAATGTTGGCTGCCAACGTCATTTCCCCATCCATGAGCCCATGGGGTGCTCTGATTGTGCTCGTGAAGAAGCATGACGGGAGTTTACACGTTTGCGTCGACATCCGCAAGCTTAACAAAGTACCTGTGGCAGAAGCATACCCACTACCATGTATGTATGATTCGCTGGATGCGCTGGCAGGGGCATAGTTTTTGTTGACGCTCGACCTGTTTTCGGGATTATGGTAACTGGCCTTGGATGAATGCGCGACGCCTAAGACTGCTTTTCGTACACCACAAGGGTTATTTGAGTTTAACTGGCTCCCAATGGGCCTCGACTCAGACCTGGCGACGTTCCAGAGGATCATGGAGTTGGTCCGGGCAGGACTCCAATGGAACTCCTGCCTGATATAATTGGATGATGTTATCGTGTTTAGCTGCACCTTTGATGAGCACTTAGTCCAGCTACGTGCTGTTTTTCATGAAATACGAGTGGCTAACCTCAAATTTAAACCTCAGAAATGCCATCTGTTGCAGACGTCCGTTCGGTACCTTGTGCATATAGTCAGCGAGTCGGGTATTGTGACAGATCCTAATAAAACTGTGTGCGTGCGCACATGGCCTACCCCCAAATCGGTGGATGAGGTGCGTAGCTTTCTCAGATTTGCATCCTACTACCACCGCTTTGTCCCCGGGTTCACCACCATTGCCAAATCCCTCCATGCTCTGATGGCGAAAGGCCAAAAATTTCGATAGGGAGCGGAGGATGATGTCGCATATGTTGTGCTCCGCGATGGGCTGGTGGACGCTCTTACCCTCAGATACTCAGATTTTATATTACCATTCATCCTGAACACTGACGCTAGCAACACGCGCATTGGCACAGTGTTGTCCCAGTCGGTGAATGGGGTGGAGAGGGTCGTGGCATATGGCAGCAGAGTGCTGTCCCTGGCTGAGTAACGCTACTGCGTGACGTGTCGAAAACAATCTGGCAGGCGATTCGAGGTGCGTTCCGATCACGCCGCCCTCCAGTATGCTTTACGCGTTAAGCAGCCATCTGGCCAGCTCTGCTGCTGGTTGAAAATCCTGTAGGACTACTCATTCCGAACGTCTTACCGTAAGGGTGCATGGCACACCAATGCGGACGCGCTTCCGCGGCTTCCCTCGGGCGACGATTGTGCGTGCCTCTCGGGTTCGGGCTGCTGCAGATAGACTTCCGTGCAGCCTTCTCCGGATGTCGCGTCGGCAGGGACCTCCACCCCTGATAATCCTGGCGATTCTGTCGCACGTGATGCTATCCTGGGGTTGAGCCAATATGAATGGGGGTGCCTCCAGGTGGAGAACGCCTCCCTAATGAAATCTCATCGCCGTGTCAGTTATCCGGGCGGCAAGTCGAGCCGACCCAGGGTAGCTCCTATCATTCTCAAGGAAGGTCTTTTAATGTGTTGGGACGGCGGCGTGCATTGTTACAGTATTGCGGTACCTACGAACCTCAGCAGTAGACTCATTTTGGCCATCCACGAACGGCTGATGCACCTAGGAGTTCCAAAAACCCTGGCTACCCTTAAGCTTGATTTTTTTTGGCACGGAATGGTGGGTGACGTTAAGAACATCCTGAAGTGTTGTGCGCAATGTGCTCGCCACAAATCGCCATCTGCTAAGTGCTGTCTGCCTTTGCAATCTATTCGGGTTTCCCATATCAATAAGCTTGTCGCTCTCGATATACTTGGACCCTTCCCCGTCACAGCCCGAGGAAATAAATATTTGCTGGTGGGTGTGGAGTATTTATCCCGTTGGCCTGTGGCTTGGCCGCTCCCAAATCAATCGGCCACCGCCATCACCGAGGCATTTCTGCACGGATATGTACTGGATGAGAGGGCCCCGGAGCGCCTCCTTACTGACCAAGGGAAAAAAATTTTCATCCAAATTATTGCAAGAGGTGTTTGACCTTTTGGGCAATAATATGGTCCACACGTCGCCCTATCATCCCCAGACGGATGGGATGGTGGAACGACTTAACAGGACTCTAACCTTTATGTTGAGTCAGCAGGTCGATGCGTCCCAAAAAGACTGATCTGCACATTCCAGGGGTATTGGCAGCCGACAGAATGGCTCCGCACATTTCCACCGGCTACTCGCCATTCTTTCCTGATGTATGGGAGAGAATCAACACCCCCATTGACGTCCAGAGAAATACAGCTCCTAGGAAGCCGAAGGTTACCATCTCGGAACCCATGCATTTCACCCTTCAACGGGTTTCGGAAGCACGCGAGGCTTCGAAAGAAAATTCCGCCTCACTGCAATCGGCCAACAAACATCTAAAGGGCCTTCGAGTGTTGGGTGAACAGTGGGCCCCGGAGGACAGGGCTTGGCTGCACTGCCCTCAAGTACCTGTGGGCACATCCCCCAAGTTGTACAGACCCTGGTGGGGGCCGGTTTAGGTGATATGGGCCGACCGGCCACAATGTGTTAAGATCCGGTTCTGGCGCCGGAATTGGTTTGTGCATCCGTCCCGCCCTAAGCCTTTTGTCACTCCCCGTCACATCCCTTCATCTCCAATGCATTAGGGCTGAGTATTGGGTGTGCTGGGCGAGCTGGGGGGCGTGCCTGTCGAGGTTGTTCCTCAGGATGGTTCTCCAGTCCCGCCCACAGGGCTGCTCCTCCAGACGCTCTACTGGGTGCGGAGCGGCTGTTGGCCAGCCATTCTCCGCCGACGCCGTCATCTCCCATGGAGGGACCGCACCAGTCTGCCAGTATTCAAGTTTCACCCGGGCCTTCCAGGGAGCTTAGGCTCACCTCGCCTGGGGGTCTGGCCACGTGGACTCGTTCTAAGACTGCTCGCTTTGAATAACTCTAACTGACATTGCTGGTTGCCTACACCGTCGGTCACACAGTCACCCTCACATGTCATGGAGGTCATTGGCTGAACCTGGCCTTTTTTATTATTGTACTGTGCGTGCGTGATTTTACATGGGTGCACTGTGCTGTGAGGGGTAAATGAGTTAACCAGTTTACGTATATTTGTTGTTGTCATTTAATTCCCCTCCTTCCATGCCTTCTTCCTTCCCTCCCTCCCTCACGATATGTGTACATATGTTATTCACGGTATTCATTGTCGGTCGCCGGTTATTTATTGACGTTTTTTTGGAGGCACAGCTTTACATTTTTCCATGGTTGTGTTACAGCCGGAATGACTGTGTGTTACACGGGAAGGGGGGGCGATGTAGTGACGTATGACGTCACTACTATGTCGGGACTGTACGAGCGTAGGGACATATGACATCACTACCGTGTCGGCTCGGTATGGGGGCTGTAGGCAGGTGTCACGGGGGTCGTGTCAGGCCGTGGCACTCCGCGTGAACCCAACAGAACTCGTGACCGGATAAAGGGGCGGCCAGGGGTCCCAGGAGGGAGCTTGGGGGTCACGTGGTTGGGGGCCCGGACCTTCCCGAATGATAGTGAAGGGGGACGTTGCCTGGGGCGGAGCCGGCCATGCCGGAGTGGTTATAAGCGGGGTGTGAACGGGGAGCTGGGATGTTCTCCGAGATGTTGACGCCATGAGAAGTCCTCAAGTCTCCAATCGTCGTTCATAACCGGGCAGCTGTCACCTTCCCTGGTCACACTGTGTAGTGTTCCCCGAGTGTCTTGAGTGCTAGTGAGATTAGGGACGGTGGTCACCACCTTATGTATAGTGTTCACGTTGGTGTTAATAATAGTATAGTGCCATAGATGGGCTGCACTTGCAGGCAACGGCAGACAGCCCAGAAGCAGTTGGGGCTCTGAGGGGTTCTAGGATCCCACGCAGCCCCTCCTAACAATTGGGGGCTGTGGGGGGTTCTACGATCCCTCGTAAACACTCGCAACAGCTGGGGGGCTGCGACTGCACTGGCCTGCAACGGCAGACAGCCCAGAAGCGGTTGGGGGCTTTGGGGGATTCTGGAATCCCCCGCATCCCCTCCCAACGGTGGGGGCTGTGAGGTGTTCTACGATCCCTCAGAGCCCCGCCCCTCGGCTGAGAAACATATATAAGGCAGACATCTGGAGAGGTTCGTGGCAGTTGAAGACCTGCTAGTGTAGGACCCTGGACCCCTAGCTTCGGCGTCCTTTTAAGGGCCGGAGTTCTGTGAGGCCAGTGGTGGACCCTGGGACTCTCTTACCTGCTGTCCTTATTAGGGCCAGGTCTGAGGAACCAGTGGTTGGACCTGTACCTTAGCTGGGTCAGGTCAGAGAGCCTCCCATAGGACATCATAGTCGGAGGACCTGGAGCGTAGTCGGGTTAGGCACGCTACATAGGCGGCGTATGATAAGATGGGTGGAAGAAATACAGGGGATAGACTGTAAAAGAAGTTGGTGTACAGTAGTTAGGGTGTGTGTGTATGTCTAATAAAGACGCGCCCCCTACAAGTGTCTCCGGATCACACTACAATAGTGTTGCCTCCAAGTTGAGTGTGCACCTCAATCGAAACCATTACACAAATGACAGCTCTACGAAGTGGCTCATCAGGTGGATATTTACATAGGCGGCGTATGATAAGATGGGTGGAAGAAATACAGGGGATAGACTGTAAAAGAAGTTGGTGTACAGTAGTTAGGGTGTGTGTGTATGTCTAATAAAGACGCGCCCCCTACAAGTGTCTCCGGATCACACTACAATAGTGTTGCCTCCAAGTTGAGTGTGCACCTCAATCGAAACCATTACACAAATGACAGCTCTACGAAGTGGCTCATCAGGTGGATATTTATAGCAGCAGCCAAATTCTCTAAATGAAAATTGATTCTAAATGTGGTGGGAAAAACGCGAGGAACCAGGGAAAAATCCACGCCACCACGGGGAGAGAGATGCAGACTCTGAAATAGAGCGAAATGGATCAATGGGCTCGACCTTGTGAAATAAAATTAGTTTAACAGCTTTAATATTCTACGAAATCATATTACTGTGTACTGGGGCAAGTACTGTCATCAAGCAGCAGCACCTATAAAGGCCAGCATGGCACACGAGGGGGTGGGTGGCCAGCACCACGCCCGGCCGCCTTTGTCTCCCTCGTGCCGAATGTTTACACATCACACCAGCAGAGGGTAGCGCAGCGTGAACCATTGTTTTACTGTACCTCTGCACTTCTACGTTCACGATCCCCACCATCGCCATAACCCACCCAATGACACGCACAGCGCGGGGAGGCCCTCATCCAGCAGCGGAGTGACACACAATGCCTGTGTGTGGGTGTGAGAGTGGCGTTCACATCGTGGTGCTGGTATCATCACCACTGTTCACTGCCACTGCACACACACCAATGGTCATATTAGTGCAGCACAATTATTATTTGTTATTATTTATTATTAATTATTATTCATTAATTATTATTAACGAGTAATTATAAGCATGTGTACTTAGATACTAACGAATATTAGCATGTATACACATATACCAACTAATATTAGTATGTGTACACTAATACTAATGAATAATAGTATATGTATGCATTTGTCATACGCGGGATAATCGCACTGTTACATATCAACGCATCACGTAGTGTGGTATGACCACAACAACACAACAGACAACGCAACACCAGCGTGTGTGTGTGTGTACACGCCACGTGTGTGTGTATGTACACGACACGTGCACTGCTTGTGCCGCTACTGCACACGCGTCGCCCTGACCACTGTGCGGGCGTCGTCGCTGTCCTCACCACAGATGGACGCTCACCGACTCTGGACACAAACTCAGCCCACGACCTCCTCCAGATTTCCTCGGATCTCAGGATGGTGACTGTGAGCGGTGTCCGCCAGCGTCGCCCCAATCACCCACACCGCTTTGATGCCTATTACCAAGCCCTGTGCTCTGAGAGCTTCTCCTCGGGTCAGCACTACTGGGAGATGGACGTGGGGATTGCGAGGCTGTGTCGGGTTGGAGTCGCGTATGTGACGATCCCACGGAGAGGGCGTGGTGATAATTGCCGCCTGGGAGAAAGTGACATCTCCTGGTGTCTACAGAACAATGGCAACAGATTCTCAGTGTGGCATGGCGGGGTAGAGACGTCACTGTCGGTGCCGGAGCCTCTGCAGAGAGTCGGGGTCCACCTGGACTGGGACGCGGGGCTGCTGTCGTTTTACAGCGCCGACTCCATGGCGCCGTTGCACTCGTTTCACCAAACCTTCGCTCAGCCCCTACATCCTGCGTTGCTGGTGGGGTGGTGGGGTGAAGTTGGTGACTCAGTGAGGATTGTGGATCTGAGTGGTGCGTCCTGAGAGAGGCGAACGTGAACAGAGCAGAGGGCAGACGCCTCAACGCATGGCGCTCACCACCCTCGTCACCAAACTAGATTCAAAGTTTTCGTGACTGCATAAATTACTCCTCGGTTATTGCAGTAAAGTCACGTAGAAAATAAAATAATAATAGAATACGACGTTTCAGTTGCAACACAAGCAACCATCATCAGGAAAGAATGAATGAGAAAGCAAATTAGGAGGTGTAATGCAATGCAACAAGGAGGGTCGGTTAACACACAGTCTCACACTTTCGATTTTCTTGCTCTAAAGTCTGTGCCGAGGCCTTAAATAGAGAGAGGGGGCGGGGCAGAGAGAGCACTGGGGAGGCGGGACCAGCTGACAAACGAGGGGACAGAGAGACTCAGTCTAAACCATTGCTTCTCCTTCGGCCACTGTGGTCCGGAATTGCACACTGCTCCCTCATTGTCCCCGCGTTTGTCAGCTGGTCCCGCCTCCCCAGTCCTCTCTCTGCCCCGGCCCCTACCCCCTGTCTCTAGTTAAGACCTCGGCACAGATTCGTTGTCCTTCTGTTTGTCTTGGTGTGTGTCTCGCTCTATGTGTGTGAAGCCAACGTGGATACATTCACACTGCCAGAGGGGTGTGACTGTAGTGTAGGGGTGCAGTGTTTAGCAATGGTGAACTTGGATGTGTTTATGCACTGGTGGTGTCATGGGTTGTGGGAGAAATTAAACAACAATAATTAAAAAAAAAGTATAAATGTACGTGTACGACAGTGACATAGTAACGCTTGTATCGTCGATTCTACAATAAAATACAGAATTTCGATTTAAAGCTTTCGTGACTGCAAGGATTAATCTTCTTTGGTTCTTTCGGTAAAGTCACGTAGAATGATAATAAAATAATAAATTGATAAAATAAAATAAAACAATAAAATTATCACGACGTTTCGGCCACAACACAAGCGGCCTTCATCAGGTGAAGGGACGAAACTGTCTGGAGGACAGCGCTCGAGCAACAAAGCCACGCTCAGATTGCGACCTTTAAGCTGTGCGAGAAAAAACAAAGCGCCTTGACAAAGGAATTAGCATAGAATTTAGCATGGAAATCGCTGAGTGATGAGCTTGTGACTGGCCGCAGAAATGACTATGTTAAAGTTAAAGCATACACATCCGCAGAGGCACCCCTTGACAAAGGAATTAGCATAGAATTTAGCATTTAAATAGCTGAGTGATTAGCTTGTGACTGGTCACAGAAATAGCTATGTTAAAGTCAGAGCATACACATTCACAGAGGCACCTAGTACAAATCAAACAGGAGAATTTAGCATTGAAATAACTAGGATAATTTAGCATTGAAATAACTGAGTGATTAGCTTGTGACTGGTCACAGAAATGGCTATATACGTGTGTATACATTTAGAAATAAATATGTTGTAGTGCGATGACCAGCCGTGTGGTAGTGGTAGTAGCTAGATGGTGCCACGTGACGCGCCGTGGTGCTGGTGTGATGACAGTGGTGTGGTAGTGGTAGTAGCGAGACGGTTTCACGTGATGCACTGTGGTGCTGAAAGTGATGACAGCGGTGTGATAGTGGTAGTAGCTAGACGGTGCCACGTGACACACCGTGGAGCTGGTGTGATGACAGCGGTGTGGTAGTGGTAGTAGCTAGACGGTGCCACGTGACTCACCGTGGAGCTGGTGTGATTTTGCTGCGTAATCCTCCATTGGCACCGCTTGGGGCTGAGTCCACAAAAAACACAAATGGGGGGAGGGGAGCGGTGAGGAAGAATATTTGGGTTATGCCGAGTTCATGGATGGGGACTTAGTGGCAACTGAGAGCTTTAATAAGCAATGGAGCGTGCACATTGTAAGTGATAAAATATTTTAATTAGCAAAAATATATATTGAAATATTTTACTCTGATCACATTCCCCACAATAGACCGGCCACCGCCACCTCAAAATGGAGATCTATTCCGTCTGTGTGGGATAGAGTGTCTCCCCTCTCTCCCTCCCTCCCTCACCACGCCCACGTTCCTAGTGTCAAGTGACATCACCACGCTCACGTTCCCGGTGTGGCGTGAAATCACCACGCCCACGTTCCCGGTGTGCGGTGACGTCATCACGCTCACGTTCCTGCCTGTGGTGACGTCACCACGCATGTTCCCCGGTGTGCGGTGATGTCACCATGCATCTCCCCATCCAAAGCAACCAAATGCCACGTGTTTCCATAGCAACCAGCTCCTGTAGTAATCAGCTGTTTGCTTTAAACGCGGTTAAAAACAACTGACATTGATCAATTTTGTAACACCACATGACAGCACAGCTCTGACTAGCAGAACCAGCGACAAGTTTCCCCGTGTAGCCTTAACAGACTGTTGGGTCAAGTCCTGTTAGCGAGTAGCAGCACCTGTGAAGGCCACCACTCTGGCACACGAGGGAGTGGATGGCCAGTCGCACACCCGACCGCCTTTGTCACCCCAACGGCACACCAGGCACACATTTGAGGCCGAGTCGACCTAGGGGAGGCCCAGGACCGATTGTTTCATATCAATCGTCATGGGCGCTGGCGGCCGTGAGCGGGAATTGAATTCGTTTGGCCAGGGTTCGTAACGCAGCGCGCCGCTAACCGCTGCGCCACCGCTCCCCAGGCCGAGTGACAGCGCAGCCCTTAGTGGCAGAGACACGGACACCGTGGCGCTCCCATCACGAGGAGACCCCACGTGGAGACGTCTCAACGTATACTCGCGCCGCTGACGTCGCTCCTTCACACCGTTGCCGAAGTCTAGGATGCATCTACATTGGGTCAAACTTAACATCTCTTAATGTCCGACGACTTGTGCACCAGATCTTATTTATTCACGATGTACTTACAAAAAAATTCAGACTACCTGTTGGATCTCCTCAGGGTTTCTAAGAATAAATGGGACCTAAGGTCTTCGCTCATTTACAAGCTTCACATTCCTTATTGCCGTACAAATAGTGGAGGAAGGGTCTTTGCTATTGATGCCCCCAAGGGTCTGGAATGCTATCGCCAAAAAACTGCAACTGGGATCACTACCTATAAGATCCTCACTCAAAACTGCTCTAGAGGAGTTGTACACCCCTAGCTGTCACTGCTATTCAGGGGCCTGAAATCAAATGTTTTGCTCCGGATGACCGCTGCAAAGTATGATTATGTGTTTTGATTTATGGAATGACTCATGCAGCCAGCTATAGCTCTATGGTTTGGTGGTACATTTTGTTTATGTCGTTTATTGTGAAATTTCGGTCACAGTTCCTATGATCACTGTTACATTGCTCATATGGCTTTATTTTGGTGATTTCGAAAAGTTTGTTTTGGTTTGGCCATGTTTGTTTGTTGTAGTATGGAGTTAGACTGATGGCTTTAATATAAGTTGTCTTGTGGTTGTTGTTGTTGTTTGACTTGCATCCCACTGGAATTTTTGTACACAGCGTTGGTGTACATTGCTTTTTCTGGAATATTTTTCTGTTTTTTTTGCTGGATTTTTCTGTTTGCGCATAGTCACTTTAAGATTTTTGATTTAAAGCTTTCGTGACTGCAGGGATTCATATTCTTGGTTCTTTCGGTAAAGTCACGTAGAAGGGAAACAAGAAAATAATAAAAATATAAAACAATAAAATTCTCACGACTTTTCGACTGCAACACAAGCAATCATCATCAGGTGTGAAAACCACAACAAGAAATTTTGAAATAAAGTGGCGGTTATTTTTAACGTTAGCACCACGGAGAGAGATTTGACAGTTTGTTCAGATGGACGAGTCCATCTATTTTCAGAAAAGATGAGGGGGGAGACGAAAAATAATGGATGCGGTCTGAAAGCCACCTTAAGCGTGATCAATCAATTAAGACCCGAAATGGTTTATCAAATCCTTCCCATGATTGCTAAGCCAGAATTAATCTTCTCGGTTGAAATTGTCTATGTGTTTGTATATGTGGATAGCCTCATGAACGAATCTCTCATGGTAGACAGATCGCTTGCAAATAACCTCTGTCTTGGAGAAGTCAATGTCATGTGAACCAACTGAATTATAACAGTGATCTGCCACCACCGAGGTGTTGGTCCTACCGTGTTTCAGGTCTGCTTTGTGTTCACGAATGCGGTCCGAGACATGTCGTTTGGTTTCTCCAATGGAACTACTACCACAGAGGCAACTTAGTTTGTAGACACCAGGGTACTGTATGTCCGCAATCATATATTTTACAGACGGAACCAGTTCACGGATTTTATGTAATGTGTTGAATCGAACCTGGATCTTGTGTTTATTCAATATTTTGGAGATCTTTTTTGTGATCCCTGCAATGTAGGGTAAAGTGATGGTTTTGAAAGGCTCAAGAGGGTCTTTTTCATGGTTGGAGTGATAGCTTTGCGGATTGTGTCGTCGGAATTACCATTAGCCATAAGAGCTTGGTGTACGTGCTTGAGTTCACTGGCTATATGTTCCTGGTCGGATATGCATTGGGCACTATGGTGCAGAGTCTTGATGAGGGAATTCTTCTGGGATGGATGGTGGTGGGAATCCGGTTTCAGGTAAGCATCCGTATGGGTAGCTTTCCTGTAGACAGAGTGGCACATTGAACCATCATGTCTCCTTTTTATTAGGACATCCAAAAAAGGCAGCTTGCCATCTTTTTCGACTTCCATGGAAAATCTGATGGCTGGGTGACTGGAATTGATGTGGTCGAAGAATTGGTCTAGAGCAGGCCGGCCATGTGGCCAGATGACAAAAGTGTCACCCACGTACCTCTTCCATAAGGTTGGGCGCAGAGTGGCAGTCTGGATGGCGTCAGTCTCAAATTTCTTCATGAAAATGTTGGCTACAACTGGAGATTGGGGGGAGCCCATTGGGGTGCCCTCAGTTTGTTTGTAGAAAGTTCCATTCCAAGTGAAGTATGTATTGGTTAAGCAGTGTCTTACCAGGGGGGGTACCTCAGTGTTTAGTCCTTGATGAACCAAGTCTTCAATGATTGCGATGGTTTCAGGTTCATGAACTTTGGTGAATAAGGAAACTACATTAAAACTGACAATCAGGTCGTCTGGGGACAGGGAAATACCCTTGATTGTCAATATCAGGTCAGTAGAATTTTGTACCGCAGAAGTGGTTTTTCCAGTGAAAGGCCACAGGATTTCAGACAGAAAACGAGCCAGATT